ACGCCTGAATCGGCGCCTGGCACCTCCAGTATACGCGACCCTGGTGGCGCTCAATCTGAACCTGGCATCGGTGATTCCGAGTTCGGTCGGTGAGAGCTTGCTGTGGGCCTCTCGGAACACTGTCGCATAGGTTATACCCTTTTCTTCCGCGCCGGGCTGCAGAGTGATAACGACTGCCTGCGAGCGCGGAAGACGGAATCTTCTCTTCCTCTTCTTCTTTGGCTTCGGCGCCGGTGCCGTGGCAGGCGCCGTCTTCCCTTGTGCCGCCTGACTGGCGGGGGCCTCCTTCGCTGGGGTCTTCTTCCGACGCTTGCCGCGCCGAACGACCGTCGTCCACTGCTCCGTTGTTGTACTAGCGGACGGCGGCGGGGCGCGACTCGTGCCCGGATCGCCAGCTGGAACCGGTTGAGTTGCCCGGTCCCTACTCTGGGTTGGTGCCTTCGGTGCTCGCGGAGCGGATTGCGAGGCACTCCTTGCGGCTTTCGCATTGCGTGCCGGCTTCCTCTTGCCGGGTTGTGCGAGCCGTTCCTCAATTGCGGCAAGTCGGACATTAAACATGTCTCCGATCTGCCGTACAATTCTCGCCTCCAGGCTCTCATCTGGAGAAGCCGCGACCGGCTGTATAGGGGCCGGTGCAGCACATGTCTTGTCCTTGGTAGCCTCACCAGGCGCACGCTGCGGCACTGACGAGGCTTGCAGCTCTTGTAGCTGGTTTTTAAGCTTGCGGAGCTCAACGCTCTGCTCCAGCAATCTCCTCTTCAGGTCTATGGTCTCGTCGACATATGACTGAACCTGACGCTCAAGGTTTTCCCTCTCGGCTCTAAGCTCGAGCACCTCTTTCGCGTTTGGGGCGTTAGCGACTGCCTTGCGAAGGGCCCTCATCTCGACGGCGCTTCTGACCGACTCCTCGCGGATGCCGGTCAACATAATTTGCCGCTCCTTCAATTCAGCCTCCAACCGGGCGTTGTCTTTGCGCAGATCAGCGCATTCGGCCGTGTTCGTCCGGTCAACGAACCACTCCGTGTTTCTGCGGATGGTCGTTATATTCTCTTTGATCGTCTTTATAATCGTACCCTTCAAGTGGCCAGATTTTTTGACGGCCTCCAAAACGTTTCTGGCACATTCATCCATTTCGGCTCCGACGACGTCTGCTCGCTTAATTTCCTCCACGGGGAATATGTTGTAATGGCGAGTCACTGGTTTCGAAGTGCCGGCAACGGCCTCTGTGGCCTCTTTCTCCATTTCTCTATCGACATATTCGGCAAGGTCGGCCCTCGCCTGCGACAGTCCTGCATATCGGCCCGTGGCCTTAGGTGAAATAGCCTTGGGCGGAACGGTGTTTCCTCCTTCGTACAGAGCGACACGGAACTGCTCTGCGCTGCTGGGGGCTTTTGCCTTCCCAGCCTTTCCCTTCCTCTTAGCCGAGGTTTGTGAGTCGCTTTCGACAACTGACGACTCCTCATCACTTCTCGAATGGCGCCTTTTGCGCCTGGAGCGAGGACGCTCCAAAAAGTCCTCATCCTCACTGAATAACATACTTGCACACGAAGTCGACCGCGAAAGTGAGCTGTCGATCTCGCGGGCAAGCATGGACAATTCATCGTCCATAGCCGGATCGATCTCCATACTCCGGCGAGCTCTTACCGGGACCACTTTGGTCTCCAGTCCCACCTCCTTCACTATCTCGCCTCTCACAACAACATCTTCTCCTACTCCCCTCAGGCCTTCCGTTGCCCCCCCCAGATACACGGGGCTGACCACCCCCGGCTGAACCGGTGCGGTGGTGGCGGATTCTCCGTCTCCCGACGGTACCGCCCTGGGGAATTCAGTTTTGCGACTGGCCATTCTCATGTTTTCCTTTTTTAACGGGGGAGGTCCCGTGAAAGGCGAAAGGAAATTGAAAACGAAAAATAATAGAAAAAACAAAACGACAGAAAGAAAACAGAAGATAGAAAAGACGACAGTAAAGACTCAAAACAAAAATAAAACAAACAAAACACCTACCCTAACCTAACCTACCCTAACCTAACCTAACCTAACCTAACCTAACCTAACCTAACCTAACCTAACCTAACCTAACCTAACCTAACCTAACCTAACCTAACCTAACCTAACCTAACCTAACCTAACCTAACCTAACCTAACCTAACCTAACCTAACCTAACCTAATCTAACCTAACCTAACCTAACCTAACCTAACCTAACCTAACCTAACCTAACCTAACCTAACCTAACCTAACCTAACCTAACCCAACCTAACCTAACCTAACCTAACCTAACCTAACCTAACCTAACCTAACCTAACCTAACCTAACCTTTCCTAACCTAACCTAACCTAACCTAACCTAACCTAACCTAACCTAACCTAACCTAACCTAACCTAACCTAACCTAACCTAACCTAACCTAACCTAACCTAACCTAACCTAACCTAACCTAACCTAACCTAACCTTAACCTAACCTAACCTTACCTTTACTTTACCTAACCTAACCTAACCTAACCTTACCTAACCTAACCTAACCTAACCTAACCTAACCTAACCTAACCTAACCTAACCTAACCTAACCTAACCTAACCTAACCTAACCTAACCTAACCTAACCTAACCTAACCTAACCTAACCTAACCTAACCTAACCTAACCTAACCTAACCTAACCTAACCTAACCTAACCTAACCTAACCTAACCTAACCTAACCTAACCTAACCTAACCTAACCTAACCTAACCTAACCTAACCTAACCTAACCTAACCTAACCTAACCTAACCTAACCTAACCTAACCTAACCTAACCTAACATAACCTAACCTAACCTAACCTAACCTAACCTAACCTAACCTAACCTAACCTAACCTAACCTAACCTAACCTAACCTAACCTAACCTAACCTAACCTAACCTAACCTAACCTAACCTAACCTGACCTAACCTGGCCAACCTAACCTGGCCTGGCCTGGCCTGGCCTAACCTGGCCTGGCCTAACCTGGCCTGGCCTAACCTGGCCTAACCTAACCTAACCTAACCTAACCTAACCTAACCTAACCTAACCTGGCCCAACCTAACCTAACCTAATCCTAATCCTAACCTAACCTAACCTGGCCTAACCTAACCTAACCTGGCCTGGCCTGGCCTCCTAACCTGGCCTAACCTAACCTAACCTAACCTAACCTAACCTAACCTAACCTAACCTAACCTAACCTCACCTAACCTAACCTAACCTAACCTAACCTAACCTAACCTAACCTAACCTAACCTAACCTAACCTAACCTAACCTAACCTAACCTGGCCTAACCTAACCTAACCTAACCTGGCCTGGCCTAACCTAACCTAACCTAACCTGGCCTAACCTGGCCTGGCCTGGCCTGGCCTGGCCAACCTAACCTGGCCTAACCTAACCTGGCCTGGTGGCCTGGCCCTAACCTAACCTAACCTAACCTAACCTGGCCTAACCTAGCCCTGGCCTGGCCTGGCCTGGCCTGGCCTGGCCTGGCCTGGCCTGGCCTGGCCTGGCCTAACCTGGCCTGGCTAACCTAACCTAACCTGGCCTGGCCTGGCCTAACCTGGCCTAACCTGGCCTAACCTAACCTAACCTGGCCTAACCTGGCCTAACCTGGCCTGGCCTGGCCTGGCCTGGCCTGGCCTGGCCTGGCCTGGCCTAACTGGCCTAACCTGGCCTGGCCTGGCCTGGCCTGGCCTAACCTAACCTGGCCTGGCCTGGCCTGGCCCCTAACCTGGCCTGGCCTGGCCTGACCTAACCTAACCTAACCTAACCTAACCTAACCCTGGCCTAACCTGGCCTGGCCTGGCCTGGCCTAACCTAACCTGGCCTGGCCTGGCCTGGCCTGGCCTGGCCAACCTGGCCACCTGACCTGGCTAACCTGGCCTGGCCTGGCCTGGCCTGGCCTGGCCTGGCCTGGCCTTGACCTGGCCTAACCTGGCCTGGCCTGGCCTAACCTAACCTAACCTAACCTGGCCTGGCCTAACCTGGCCTAACCTGGCCTAACCTAACCTAACCTAACCTAACCTAACCTAACCTAACCTAACCTAACCTAACCTAACCTAACCTAACCTAACCTAACCTAACCTAACCTAACCTAACCTGGCCCTGGCCTAACCTAACCTAACCTGGCCTGGCCTGGCCTGGCCTAACCTAACCTAACCTAACCTGGCCTGGCCAACCTAACCTAACCTGGCCTGGCCTAACCTAACCTAACCTGGCCTGGCCCTGGCCTAACCTAACCTAACCTGGCCTAACCTAACCTGGCCAACCTAACCCCAACCTAACCTAACCTAACCTAACCTAACCTAACCTAACCTAACCTAACCTACCCTAACCTAACCTAACCTAACCTAACCTAACCTAACCTAACCTAACCTAACCTTACCTAACTAACTTAACCTAACCTAACCTAACCTAACCTAACCTAACCTAACCTAACCTAACCTAACCTAACCTAACCTAACTAACCTAACCTAACCTAACCTTAACCTAACCTAACCTAACCTAACCTAACCTAACCTAACCTAACCTAACCTAACCTAACCTAACCTAACCTAACCTAACCTAACCTAACCTAACCTAACCTAACCTAACCTAACCTAACCTAACCTAACCTAACCTAACCTAACCTAACCTAACCTAACCTAACCTAACCTAACCTAACCTAACCTAACCTAACCTAACCTAACCTAACCTAACCTAACCTAACCTAACCTAACCTAACCTAACCTAACCTAACCTACCTAACCTAACCTAACCTAACCTAACCTAACCTAACCTAACCTAACCTAACCTAACCTAACCTAACCTAACCTAACCTAACCTAACCTAACCTAACCTAACCTAACCTAACCTAACCTAAACTAACCTAACCTAACCTAACCTAACCTAACCTAACCTAACCTAACCTAACCTAACCTAACCTAACCTAACCTAACCTAACCTAACCTAACCTAACCTAACCTAACCTAACCTAACCTAACCTAACCTAACCTAACCTAACCTAACCTAACCTAACCTAACCTAAACCTAAACCGCAGGTTAGTTTATTCTCTATGAAGATAATTATGGAATAGCGGTGGTGATATTATATCGACATCTACATTTCATGTGGCTCCATCTAACGTGTAGTAGTAGAATTGCGTAAATTTTGGTGTATGCTAGAGTTAATTTTGTTATTTTGTCAAGCACTGATGCTTTCATACATTCGATGAGGTTCCCTCTATCGTGTAATATGATGAGTGAGATCGCGAGTGTAATTTTCTATCTATTATATACTGACTAAGTTAGTCTATTAAACTAATTAATTAATTGAGTAGGCAGCCGGCAGACCCCGTTACTTTTTCAGAAGCTACTCTCATGAGATCACGCAGAGTACTTTGAAACTTCCTGACAGTACACCGCCTTTTGATAGTCCCTACCGACAATTCTTCGTGTATACATCGTTGTATCAACATGTTATGTATCCATTCTCTAAGTGTTATTTCTACTCCATGTGTAAGTATGTTTATTTATTTATTTATTTTTATACAACTTAGAATGGCAAACAAGCTGACGGCCCACCTCATGGAAAGTGGTAACTGTCGCCTATAGACATAAGCAGTACCATGGACATAACAGAGTATACTGTTTCGCCCATGATACCCCCCATGCGTTGCCATTCCTGAGGACTCAGGTGTTATTCCTCTGCACCATGTAAATTCACGCCATATCCCACGCTTCAAACCGAAACACAGCTTGCATGGCTGCTTCACGGTTGAAACACGAATGGCACAGAGGTGCCCAAGCAATCGATTTTCGTACAAAGTCTCCCTCTGGTACGTGTATGTATAGGGGTGGGGGGGCATAGGCATAGGTTACTCAATGTTGCATTATCTTCGGTGGGGAAGGAGGACCGAAGATAAATAGAAATAATAAATATGTATAATAATGACTTTATTAACATGTCATATTTTGACAGGCATACATTCACAATCTGTTTTGTATCCAGGATAGGAAGGATGTGATGCGGGCAAAGCCGGTGGGGAAACCGCGCTGGCAGCCGGCGGCCGCAGTGAAAGACGTCACACCGATCTGCGGGAAATAAAATTATATCGAATTAGAACTAGACCTGAAGCTAAACATAAAACAGTATATGTAAATCTGGGTTACGATGCTACTGAATTAATTTTAATTTTATTTATATTTGTACACTATATCATATCATATACTCATATTTAGTAATATGTTTGTCTACTACTGAAAGTAAACCTTCTCCTTAATTGGGAAGGGGGGGAACGGGGTGATGGTTTTTTCAGTAGTTGTCACGCTTGCAGGCGGGTTGATGTCTGCACGACGGAGGGGTTCATCCGCAGCACCTTATGGGGCTGCTGCCTGCGCATCACCATGTTAGAGCCCAGTGAGCCAAGTCGACGGTATTGTAAATAGCGCCGGCTAATGGACATATTTGTTGGAAAATATAAAATGGTAGTAATAATGCGTATTACGTCATCGACCGTGCCGGGCTGGCTTAACTGTCGCCCTGCGTGGGCCCTGCTGTGCACAGGAGATCTCGCGGCAATGCGCGCGTAACCTTAAATGTGTCCCTTAAATGTGGGTGGACGCTTTATCCGCCCGGCTGAACATAGCGCGGGTCAGCCGGCGGACAAAGTCGTCCACGTTAGGGACCGCGAGTTCTCTGGCAATTACGTCATTTCTGACGTAACGACCTGCGTCTGCGAACAGTCGCAGGGCGCAGTTCTTCTGAACCTGCAGGCGCCGCCTCTGTGCCTCGGAGCACAGTGCGCACCAGGCGGGGGAGGCATATGTCAGTTGCGAATGAATATAGGACTTGTAGATGCCTACCTTTGTTCGCAGCGACAAATTGGACTGTAAGACCGGTCGTAGCATGCACGCACGGCCTTAGCCTGTGTGACCGCGCGTGTAACGTGTGCTGTCATGTGCAACGACCGGTCGATCTCGACCCTTAGGTAGTGTACTGTGCGCTCCCATGATATGAGTAACCCACGGAGGTAGAGAGGCAGTGGATATCGTGTCCGGCAACGGGTGACTAGCGCCACCGTCTTTCCCACATTGATGGTGGTGCGCTACATATATATATATATATATATATATATATATATATATATATATATATATATATATATATATATATATATTCAGCAGTCGCTGCATTTTATTTGCAGCGGTAGCGGAACTGGTCGACGACGTGAAATATATACTGTCGTCGGCGTAAAGGGCGAGGACGACATCATGCTCTCCCTCTCGAAGCTCATCCCTCAAGGTCGGGATGTCGTCTATGTACGTTGCTACTATGCTGGCACTCCGGCGGCAATAGGGTGGACGGTAGAGTTCACGACCTCGACTGTTATATATATATATATATATATATATTGAATATTAGGTACTGACCAGAGTCCGTTGGAGGCCATTCCACACCCACAGCGGGCCGCCGGAGTCGCCGGCGCACACGTTGCGGCCGTCGGCGCCGCTCACGCAGATGGTAGAGCTCACCACTACGTCAGAGCCGTAGACAGAGACGCACTCCTCGTTGGTGATCACTTGCAGCTGCGCATGGCTCAGGAATTGGTTCTGTGTTATGGGGCTGTCTGAAATTTCATAATTTTTGATAATTATATACACATAAGCTGTGTATAGGGAATATATTCCATATATGAATTAAACAGGCAGTTGTACCCTTTTTTTTTTTTTTTTTTTTTTTTTTTTTTTTTTTTTTTTTTTTAATAGAGGGACTGGCTGTCGGCCGTCGCGGTGCAACTGCACAAACTGCACTGAGATACCCACAGTATCAGTTCCTTATGAAATATATCCTAATATGAGACATTTCTTACATATGTATTATAATATTATTGCTTTTTTTTTAGGATAGTGCTAGAGTGGGTAAATGTCTATCAAAGGATATATATCTTACCTTCACCTGTAGCTCCGAAGCCAACAGTCCATGACCACTGGTCAACAAAATTCTCGTTAGCCAGAGTGGTGGGTAGACTCACAGGCTGAATGTAGTCTGTGAAGAAATAGTTTTATTGAAATTTGATAGATGGCGGGTTATCAGATAGAAGATTTTCAACAAACTTATTTAGGTACATACTAACTGGTGTATGCGACCCAATTCAAGTTGATGATGGCGATGTCGTTGTTGATGTTACTTGAATTGTAGTTTTCGTGAACAGTTACGGAAGAGGAGGTGACGCGAGTTCCTCCAGAGAACAGCAGCAGGGATCCCAGTACGATAGTCAGCTCACTGGCAGTCTGCTGCCCGTCGGTCCAGCAGTGGGCGGCGGTGAGCGCTCTGGTGTTGGAGAGGAGCGTGGAGCCGCACAGAGAGATAGCTCCTGATTGCAGTGTAATCAACAATCCACCCTAAACAATTAGAAATAAATAAACTATATTGAACAACTAGGTACCATGAGTCAAAGATCTGCTACTGATGGTGTCGAGTAAAACAACTATTTCAGTAGAAAAAAAAAAAAAAAAAAAAAAAAAAAAAAAAAAAAAAAAAAAAAAAAAAAAAAAAAAAAAAAAAAAAAAAAAAAAAAAAAAAAAAACAAAAAAAAAAAAAAAAAAAAAAAAAAAAATCTTTATAGCGACATATACATTTTAACAGCGCCATCTAGTGTTTAATAGACATTAGCGTAATAAACATTGTATTGATAGTCTATTATAATTTATTGCCTAAAGTTAACAATAGATGGCGCTATTAGGCATTGTTTTATTTAGACACCAGAGGGCTCTCGTCCAGAGTTTGGTGCTGGATTTTGTGTACAAGTATCTAATAAAAAAAAAAAAAAAAAAAAAAAAAAAAAAAAAAAAAAAAAATTAAAATCTAGGTTATTTTTGTTAATTAAAAAAAATTTTTTGAAAAAAAAAAAAAAAAAAAAAAAAAAAAAAAAAAAAATTATTATATATATTTTTTTTACATGGTTTTAATATTGAACTCACGAAATGAGGGTGGTCGCCGAGAGCCGCGGTCCAGCCACCAGTGATTCTGGAACCGTCGAAGTCGCCCGCCTCCTCGCTCCTCTTGATGGCGGCCGCCAGAGGGATGCCCACGTTCTCGTGGTAGTAGAGCCCGATCGGCTCCTTAGCCAGCACCGAGCCCACCAGCGAGACCAGCAGCAGGAGTTTCATTGTTAAATGGGAGATAGTATGATGATATTGGGTCCCGGAACAGACATTTATATAGTAACATATAACACCAATCCCAGCTTAATCACTGGGATTAACAATTTAAGTTTATTTAATACCTTATCAGTCTATCATGATATATTGGATTAGACATGTTGATTAATTCAAGTTGAAAAGTATTGAAATAAATATATGGTTTGTATTCATGACATTTACCAGAGGGAGACTTTGTACAAAAGTCGATTGCTTGGGTACCTCTGTCCCATTCGTGTTTCAATGGTAAAGCAGTTGTGTTTGCATGGCTGTGTTTCGGTTTGAAGGGTGGGATATGGCGTGAATTTACATGGTGCAGAGGAATAACACCTGAGTCCTCAGGAATGGCAACGCATGGGGGGTATCATGGGCGAAACAGTATACTCTGTTATGTCCGTGGTACTGCTGATGTCTATAGGCGACGGTTACCACTTTCCATCAGGTGGGCCGTCAGCTTGTTTGCCATTTTAAGGTGCAAGATTTATTTTTTATAAAAAGACGATTAGAACCTTACACACAAGTCCAATAGAACATCGTCACGGGATTAGAAAGAATTTAGTAATTCTGGAATCTCCACTGCACAGTGCAGTTCTCGCACAAAAAATGCTAGATACTCGGCAATATGAAGAATGCGAACAGAATATATTTATATACTCCACCACTTTTATTGACGGCCATGCCTAATGTAATAAATCATGATAATTTAACAATATATCTAAATTAAACTTACATTATTAATGCTAGCGATTAGCCAAAAATTTGTGCCCTGATTTAGTATATAAAGGATCTTCTTGCATCGATTCTTATCTATCATACTATAGTGTGTGCAACAATGAAACTCCTGCTGCTGGCTGCGCTCGTGGGCTCGGTGCTGGCCGAGGGACCGATCCGCCGTTACTACCACGAGAGCGTGGGTATCCCTCTGGCGGCCGCCATCAAGAGAAGAGAGGAGGCGGGCGACTTCGATGGCTCGAAGATCGCTGGAGGATCAGCCGCGGCCCTCGGCGACCACCCTCATTTTGTAAGTCGAATATTGAAACTTCTTCATCTTTTATATTTATTATCATCACAACAGCCTTTAAATGTCCACTGCTGAACATAAGCCTCCCCTTGAGGAGTTTTGCCAGTAGTTGCCTTGCTTGGCAGGCGAGTTGACAACCGCAGTTAGCCTTTGGTGTTGTTTTAATAGGAACACTGCTGCCAATTTTACGCCAATTAAGTTCTCTCAGTCGCCTCTTATGATGCTCACGGCAGAGGAAGGGGTGGACCGTACTATGCCGGCAGCCTATAGCCGACAAGTGGCATGTCATGAGGATACATCAGATTATTTGCTGTTTTGTTTGCTATGATATCATTAATTTATTTTCTAACGTGTAGGGTGGACTGCTGATCTCACTGTCTTGGGGCGGAACCTCTGTGTGCGGCTCCACGCTACTCTCCAACACCAGAGCGATCACCGCCGCCCACTGCTGGACCGACGGGCAGCAAACTGCGAGAGAGGTGACAATCGTGCTGGGCTCCCTGCTGCTGTTCTCGGGCGGTACCCGCATCACCTCTTCCTCCGTCGTTGTTCACGAGAACAGAAACAACGACATCGCCATCATCAACTTGAGCTGGGTCACTTATACTAGTTAGTATGTGAAATATTTGCTAACGTGTGACATTTCTACTTTTACTTTTTTTTCCTTTTTAATTTCTATTATTGTTTGTACTTTTCAAGAGATTAGAGAGATATCAATAAAGGCATTCCTTCACAGACTTCATCCAGCCTGCGAGCTTGCCCACTGGTCTGGCCGACGAGAATTTTGTTGGTCAGTTGGCGTGGGCTGTTGGTTTTGGACTTACTAGCGAAGGTAATGTATATTTTTCTATTTTTTTTTTTATTTTGTTTAATTACCAAACCTGATTGGGCGTCTCAGAACGTGTTCATTGATGACAAAAATTTCCATATATTCACAAAACTAGTCGAGTTTAAGAGTCGAGCAATAAAATTTGAAAATTAATTATTAAAACGTAGAAATAATAGTAACCTAAACGTAAAAAAATAGTCAACAGATAGAATGAGTGACTGGATGATTAAAGGAATTTATTTATTGCAGTAGCAAAGATCGATTTATATAGAGCCAAAGCCGTGTCCGCGATAGAGATCGGACAAAATGATAAAGAATCAGTAGAAAACCCTGACCTGTGGGGTTACTTTTGAAATCAATGCCAGTAGATCGATATTGAAGTAGACGTTTCGCTGTCTCGACTTGCAATACTAGCGACATGATGGCTCCATATTGTTCTGATAGATGCATATTAATGTAAATTGTCAATGCAAATCGATTCCAATTCTCACGTAATCCCTGTTGTTTCTTGAGTGCAATATAAAATAGTCATTGGCAATAGATTGGATTGATATCAATATTGGATTCAAGAGTAGACTCGCTGGTTATAGCCGGGATTAAAGGTGGGCTAGAAGAATTGTTTTTTTAACTGTCCTGTAATAACTGCAACTTCAGGCGGCGGGATCTCCGGCAATCAGTTCCTGAGCCACGTGCAGCTGCCGGTGATCAGCAACGGGGCATGCGCCGCCGTGTACGGGCCCGCCGTGGTGCCCAGCACCGTGCTCTGCGTGAGCGGCGAAGACGGCCGCAACGTGTGCCCCGGCGACTCCGGCGGCCCGCTGTGGCTCTGGAGCGGCAACCAACGCGTCCTGGTCAGTACTGGTCTCCGTATACAAAACATTCAATACTATTGATATTTGATATTTCTACAAGCTTTTAATTAACTTACTTCTGAATCTCATAAGCTTAGTTCCGTGGATTCGAATGATCGACACGAGGGCGGCAGGTCTTCGCAGAATGTGCGGGTAAAGAATTTATGTTCGAGGCACACTGCACCCTGTACTGTACCTAAGGGGTAAGCAGGTAGTGTGTGTGCTTGAAGAGCGTATAACGATATAGTTGGGGATATCACTCTACATTCAATATGGCCGCCGCTCCCAAACGACTTCTATGTATTGTGTTATGAAAGCTTGTTCCTAAAAGTGTTTTTAAACAGCCCTGTCATTGTTTCATTTCCTGCAGATCGGTGTGTCGTCATTCGGCGCGGCCGCCGGCTGCGAGCGCGGCTTGCCTTCCGGATTCACTCGCATCACGTCCTTCGTCTCCTGGATACAAGACAGATTGTAAATGTGTCCGGCTATATAAATAATAATAAAGGATTTTTTTTCTTTTTTATTAGTAATAGGAAATTCAAGACGTATTTACATAAAAAAACAAATACTACATAATTGTGTACTGAACTAGATATGTAGTTTCATTTGTGATTTCAAGAAGTATGTAATTGATAGATGGCACAGTGTTTCGTCAGTAAACAGTAGATCTTGGGTTTTATCAAGTCGGCAACCTCTGATATAATATAAAATAAATGTGTTCAATATAAAAAAACAAAAAAAGTTAGAGTAATTAAATTTAAAATAATCGAGTATGCATTTTATTCTTATGAAATGGCTTCATATGATCGTAATACGAAGGCGAGTGTAGCCGGCACTCTGGTACTCCAAACCGGTAGTTGAAGGACCTAAGAAGCGCCCTCTCAGCGTCTCCTACTCAACCGATGAAATGAAATGAAATGAAATGAAATGAAATGAAATGAAATATTTATTTGCTTTAAACAGACATTTGACATTATAAGGGCCATGTGACACAACTTTTTGGCATCTGTCTAATTGCCTTAAAATTGTAGGCATGCAAATCTAATTTATTCCTTAAATAAGGATACAAATTTAATTTATACTAGTACATTATTATGATCATAGAATAATAAAAAAAAGAAAACAATGCTCAAACAATTATCAAGTCAAATTACATATTCAATATCGTCAAATAAAATTAACAATTACATTATTATTATTAATTAAATACAAATTACATTCCATATGTTATGTCAATAGCAAATTTATGTCAAGTCGTAAGGATTTATATTATTAATAATTATGTTAACTATTTTTGGGATGTGTAGGCATAATATTCTCCCATACTGTAAAAGACCTTATCCAGAAGCCATAAATGAAGCCGTTTCTTAAATATTTTCAAGGGAAGGTCTAAAAGATCTGAAGGAAGTTTATTATATATTTTTTGGGCCATAAATGAAACATTCTTTTGGTACAAGGTCAAATTACTTTTTGGTATCACAAGTTTATTTTTTCTGTGTGATCTAATGCCTTCTTTGAGTTGTCCACATGTATTAAATAATTCAGGGTGTTGTTTAATAAAAGTACATATAGCAAATATATACACGCAAGTCAGGGGAAGGATTCCTAATTTTTTAAATAATGGCCTACAAGATTCCTGGCACCCCACATTGCTAATAGCCCTTATACATTTTTTTTGCGCTTTGAGGACTCTTTCTATGTCAGGCGAATTCCCCCAAATAATCAAACCATAACTAAGTGCCGATGAAACGAATCCATGATATGCACTAAGAGCAGTCTGTATGGTTGCAATCTGGCGCAATTTATACAATGCAAATACAAATTTATTAATTCTTTTACAAACATTATCAACGTGTTTCTTCCAATTTAAGTGTTTATCTAACGTGATACCTAAAAAAGTAGTGGAATCCACTACTTCTATATTATTATTTTTGTAATTTATATTTAGGTCAAGGCTGGGGCTTGAATAAGTTTTGAAATGAATTATTTTTGTTTTAAGTAAATTAATTTTTAAATTATTTTTTGTTAACCATGTTATTATTTTATTTAATATATCCTTAAGATATATCCTTTAGATGCTGCATCCATATTTTGTCTTGTGTCTCAATCCTCACTTGATGGGACAGGGGATTGTTTAGATCGATCATATCTGTGCTGAGCACCCGGGCGCTAGCCTATTTTTTAATGAATGTTAATGGAATGGTAAGTTTGGCTAACGGTATACGCTGGCGAAACATCAGCGACGGATGATTGGTGCGGATGACAAATAAAAAAAAAAAAAAAAAAAAAAAAAAAAAAAAAAAAAAAAAAAAAAAACAGGTCAGTTATGTTAGCCCAATGATAAATTACTTACGATGGTTTCCAGGGGAAACCGCGTGAAGGTCGACCTGACAGGGTCGATATTGATAGCAATGGGTACTAACCTCTCTATTACTAAACATAAGCCTCCCCCTTGGGGGGTTTTACCAATCGTTGCCACGCTTGGCAGGCAGACTGGTAACAGCAGTTAGGCTTTAGAGATGTTATAAGAGGGATGCTGCTGGCGATCCCTCGCCCTCTCTTATTTGCCTGTTATGATACCCACGGAAAAGAAAGGAATAGCATATTTATTTAGCTGTTTCTACATAAAGTGGATGAAATGTTTGCTTGTTTACGTATTATCTATTTGTAAAAGTAGTCGTGCAACCAGTACTGAATACTCGCTGAACGATCCCCTGAATGGTCCAATCCATCTTTGTAAGACAATATCTTGCAAATTACGAGTATATTAACTTCCGTCTTTATTTTATACTACTGAAGTGGTTAACAAGCTTACGGCTCACTTGATGGTAAGCGGTACGATTGTAGAAAGTGGCCGTGGGCATCGTACTCAACAATTCCTCTGAGCACAATTATGAAAAAAAAAAAAAAAAAAAAAAAAAAGTCTCCTAGGCTCAAGCGTATAATATTATTATTAATAATCGGTTACCCAATATATAATATCCCGCTTGTAATGATTGTAGATATCCGTCTGGTACAAGCGATATTGCAACGGCTCGCCATCCATGTACAGTACAACTCAAGATATAGATATCGGATATTACCCGATACTACGTAGAACAAGTGTCGTGCAATACGTTTCACTGTTAACTATCGCCCTTAGTTGCGCGCTCGGAGGGGGAGTAGTTTTTTTTTTAATGTGTGAAAATGGATTGGTAACTCCGGCTGCGTTAGCGGGATACGCTGGCGGATCACCAGTGAAGGGTGATCGATGAGAATGAAAACAGGTCACTTAGCCCATCATGATGAATCCATCAGGAATTAACCATGATAGTTTCCAGGGGGAACCGCGTGGAGGTCTACCTAGTTGTGTATATTGCTAGCAATGGGATTCTTAGTCTCCATTATTAACAATCTCTTTCCCCCCCGGAGGGGGAGTAGTGTAGCGACTCATTACGCCACCTCCTTTTAACCGCGCCAGCAATTTCTACGTCAACATAATATTAAGACTCTTTTCCGTTTGCATTATTTAGAAACATTGTGACGTTTGAGTTTTAGTTTATCTGACATCTATCTTTCTGTCTTTACGAATCCTACCTAATGTAAAATATTTAATTCTGTTTAAACGTTATTGTCGTTTGCTGATTACTTGCTTCCATCTGTCTATCAACTGCAAGAATAATTAGAATGTTTCAGCAAGCAAAGGTTAGTGACTGAATGCATTGGGTATCCTCAGCGACTACACCCACCCCTATCACATTAGCTTTATCCTTATCAGTTTTTTGGGTTTTCCTACTCCTGATTGTCTAAGTCTGGTTTTTAACTTACCTACTGACAGATAATAGGATATCGGGCGATAAGCAAACTAAAAATACGTACACGTTATGTATTATAATACATAATCATATGTAATTATCAGATATGTGCTATAAATCGGTATTATGTTTAGATAAACAATTAAAGATTTTTATTATTTATTTTATTTATATGCTTTTGTACATTCATTTCTTCTTTTCATTTAAGAGTTTCCTCTTGTCGGTGCAACTAATTCATGCATCTTCCTCCAGCCAGCTCTATCCCAGGCCATATCCTTGATCTCCCTATACGACATGACACCTAGTGTTTCCTTTCTCTGTGCCATGTAGTTATTCCTCGGTCTTCCTCTTCCTCTTTAGCCCTCTATTTTTCCTTCTACTATGCTCTTTAACTAATCGTCATATCGAATAAGGTGGGCCAGCATTATGCCTCTTCTATAATTTGCATTATTCTTCTATCATCATTAATCCTTTTCAAGACTTCCTCATTCATTACTTTTCCTCTCCAGCTTATCCTTTTCATTCTCCTTCATGTCCACATTTTGAATGCCTTTCTTTCCTTTTGCGTCATTTTCCATGTGTCATGATGATAGGTGAGGATGAAAAAAGCAGGTTAGTTAGCCCACCGTAACGAATCTAACAATAAATCAATCATGACCATCTTGATTCCAGGGGGAACTACGAGGAGGTCGATCTGACAGGGTATATTGCTAGCAATGGGGCTACTAGTCCCCATTACTGACAATACCTTCTCCCCCCATAATATAGATATTAGGTTATACCAAAATGTACACAGGCGGACTTATCCCTTAAAGCGATTTTCCACTCAACCTATATTACTATATTGGTTCGGTTTGATTTTGTGTTATTGATTCCACTACTGCTAATGCATATCAAAGACGGTGGTGATGTTCTGTATACTGTTGCGATAGTAAGGGTTCTTTAATAAAGAGAGCGTCGCCTCCATGGGTCCTCTGGCCCATCCGGCCTCTCCGCCAAGCAGCTCTGCTTGCAGGGTTGTGTTTCAGTTTGAAGAATTTGAAGGTGACACTGTGATTACGGGATACTGATGATTATTAGTTAGTATAAGAGTTTCAATATTTATTGTTGTTGCTCATTTCATGTTTTTTTAGATGAATATACCGAATATCTGGCAGAACTACCCTATTAAAATGATGTAACGGAAAGAAGTAAAAGAAACTTAACTTAATAAAAATGTAAACAAATGAATAATTGAGCTGATAAGACAGTCTGCTGATGTCCAATAAACAATCATCATTAACGAAACTTAGTTACAATGTTCAATAAGTCCTATTGAAACAGATAGACAGTTATAACATAATTTGACAATAATATGGAAACATTCAAAAAATAAATCTACACCAATCGAGACAAAAACGGAGCGATAAATACAGCCTGTAGGCGACTTACATATTTAATATAATTTTGTTTATTTATTTACAAATATTTATTTATATATTGTAAATGACTTGCACAATTAATATTATATTTAATTTAATTATTTACAAATATTTATTTATATATCTTACACACGGTAAATCGTGCCGGCTGGTCTAAAATCGTATAGAGGTAATGAAAACGTGCAGTCGAGTAGCGTTGCCGCTCGATCTATTTTTAACTCGTGACGGTAGCCGCGCGGCCTGCGCGGGCGCATAGACCAGTCAAAAACTACCGCTTTGCTGGACAGTTGTTTTAATATTTGAATGTCGCTTTCGCTTATTTAATATATATATGCTCGCTAATTATTATCTTTGTTTGTGTCCTAGATCTTGTAATGTATATATCTGTCCTTGTATAATCTTTCTCCTTCTGTGTTTATGTGTTTATGTGAGTTGTGAACATTGTGTGAACGTACTTAAACATTTTACAACTGTAAGTCAGATTTTGATTTATCTACTGACATACCCACCAAATACCTCATCGTCATATATTTACATATTTCCTAAACAGCCCATCGATTGCAAAGCCATCGTTAAGTTTGGTTTAGATCGCGACTTAATCGAGCAATGTAGCCACAAAACATCAGATGAATTGTAAAGCACAAATTTTTTGAAGGTCGAAAATGGAACGAGAGGTAATGACCGGTCGTGGGGATTTCGACCGCACCAGACGCGCGCGAGTATGGCGAGCGATCAAGTCTGAACTTCGGACGTTACACGGAGCGTGACTTGCTCAAGTTACGCGACTGTTACGTCATAGGCGCGTCAAACTAATTGATTTTATATCATCGGTATGTGATAGGTGATCACGGAGCACTGCGCTGATGCAGTGTGGTATTCAAGTGTTAAACGACTATTGAAAAAAAGGTTTACAAACTTTTTGGTATTTTGGGTTTTCTCCTGAATTAGTTTGATTATATGTGAACAGTGTTAATGCCTTGCTAATGCCAGGCTAAAGCAGGTTTTAAGTGTATTTGAGTTTGTTATTCAAATACATTTAAACCTTATAATATTTAGAACGATATCGCGTGTGATGCCGAACCTGAAAAACCTCTTTACTCCATTTTTGAAGAACTCCATGCCGTAGTCTATTGGGAAACTTTGGCAGGGAGCTTATTTCATAAGCTGATTATTTGAGAGTGAAAAGTCTTTGAAATAGTGGTGTACACGATTATCCAGGGTCTAAGGTAATGAGATGAACTGCCTTCGGTAGCGTACGAGTGTACTACTCGATAATAGAAAGTGCCAGTGAGCATCATGTTGAACAATTCTTCTGAACACAGTCCATTGTATATACGGGAGTATACGCAAAGTAAGGCAGAAAAAAAAACACCTCAGGCATCTTTATGTCGAATTTTTCTATGATATCGTTCTGTGAGTCTGAAATTCTTGGCAATTCTTTTTGACAAATTAAACAGCAATTGTCGTTGGTCCAGCGTGAAATAATGCTTTGCTCTGTTAAGAAGACCAGGTCTTGTGGATGTCAGCTTGCTTATAATCATCGAGATGGCCACAGAACTGTGCGTCACTAGATATCTCAACACCGATGATCATAATGCTTTTGGCAATAGTAAGAGACGTACTCTCAAATTTTGGAGTTACAGAAAATGTAATCCTGATCTTTTATGGGTCATATGATTTATATATGTTGCATTTAAAACAACATATATTTGACAATATTAATTACATTTGCAAAATTAATATTAATACGACAGATAGTATAATAACTGTCTTGGTTAACTAAAAAAAAAGAGATATATATTGCAAAAAATACTTTATTATTTACATTAACTTAGCCACTAGTCCAATTGGAGAGAGATATCGATTACAATCTAGCTTGGATCCAAGACAAGAAGGACGTCACTCGGGCGAAAGCGGCGGGTAGACCGCGCTGACAGCCGGACGCCGAGCCGAATGATACCACACCGATCTGTGGGATATGGAAACGAATAATAATAGTATTTGTCAGATACCTCATTCTACAATTTGATGGGATATTATATCTGGTGGTTGATCTAAAACATTCTGGTTAGATGACATGTGAGCCGTGGCTTTATCTGTGGCAGGTACATAGGATCGAGCAGAGTGGAATAAAACAGTAGGAACGCTGATCCTAGTTTTAGCCGGGATTAAAACTAGAACGTAAAAGAATAATTTTGCGGCTGTGTTTATTGAGAAAAATACTAACCAGAGTGCGCTGGTTGCCGTTCCATAGCCACAGAGGGCCGCCGGAGTCACCGCCGCAGGTGCTGCGACCGCCGGCGCCGCTCACACAGAGCGTGGAGCTGACCACGACGTTGCTACCGTAGGTGGAGGCGCACACGGAGTTGGTGATGACCTGCAGCTGCACGTGGCTTAGGATCTGATTGTTGGTGATAGGATTGTCTGAAATGATTGAATATGAATGATAACATAAATTGCGCACCTATTTCTTAGAAAAATCACTTTCCCTTTAAACTTTACCTTGGGTTTTATTGAGTCAAAGATTGTTATTTGCTCTTCTTTTACAGTTATTTGTTTCATATAATAATATTTTATATATTTATTTATGTATATATTTATTACATATATATATTTATTTAATAAATATATTATGTGTATGTTAATATTAGCCTAATTATATGTTTATATTATATAAATATATCAGGTATTGCTTTATTTTTCCTCTATTCAATAATGCACCGCCTACTTATTTCTCTGTTCGCCCAATTGTTGACCGGTAGAGAACACCGTCCGGTGTTGAGTCAGCCAAATGTACATATAATTTTAATGTGCAATAAATCTTAAATAAATAATACAGTATAGAGCAATAAGTACGTAATATACTCGTATTACTAAAATTAAACTCATCTATTGAAAGTTAGCTGTCACAATAAAAAAAAAAAAATAGAATGACATATAGAGCTAGGGAATTTATTTTTATTAACAATGCAAAAAAAAAATCTCTTACTGTCACCAGTAGCTCCAAAGCCGGCAGCCCACGCCCAAGATCCAGCGAAGTTGTTGTTGACCAAACTGGTGGGTAGGCTCACAGGCTGGATGTTATCTGTGAACAAATACGTTTATTGTAATCCGTTGATAAAATATTAAAATAACTGAAGACGTAATTGAAATAATAAATTTAGTAAATGCAGTGTGCTTTGCTAATGTTGTAAGAGGGACGCTGCTGCTGCTGCACGCCCTTGACTATTGAGTTCCCTTAGTCGCTTGTTATGACACCCAGGACAAGGAAGGGCTGGCATACAGTAATTGCATCAGTACAATATTATTTTAGAGCTTTCTTATGACATAGTTTAATATACTAACTGGTGTAAGAGACCCAGCTCAGGTTGATGATGGCGATGTCGTTGTTCAGGTTGTTGGGGTTGTAGTTGGCGTGCACGGCGACGGAGGAGGTTGTGATACGGGTACCGCCGGAGAACAGGCGGAGGGAGCCCAGCACGATGGTCAACTGTCTCGCGTTCTGACGGCCGTCGAACCAGCAGTGGGCGGCGGTGACCGCTCTGGTATTGGAGAGAAGAGAGGAGCCGCACACAGAGGTAGCGCCAGATTGCAGAGTGATCACTAAACCACCCTAAACAGTAGGTAATGAGACAATTGTTTATACAAATCACGCAACAAACCTTTCGATGTAGCCCGACATATCTCTATTTGATATTTGCTTTATTTTTTCTATTACTACAATTTTTCTTTATCAGTAAAGAATTAACACGCACATCAATTTTTTTTTAATACAACTTAGAATGGCAAACAAGCTGACGGTCCACCTGATGGAAAGTGGTAACCGTCGCCTATAGACATGCGCAGTACCATGGACAAAACAGAGTATACTGTTCCGCCCATGATACCCCCCATGCGTTGCCATTCCTGAGGACTCAGGTGTTATTCCTCTGTACTCAGTAATTTCACGCCATATCCCACCCTTCATCAATATAACTAAATGTCTATATATCGTCCTTTTAAATATAATTAATTGATTATAATGGAACAGACTTCCTTCTAATACATTCATACAGGATAGTCTTTCCATTACTTTCTTCAAGAAAAAATTAAGTCTCACTATACATAATTACACTTAATACTATGCACTTACTACTGTATGTATTATATATGTACTTCTATTTATTTATTTATCTACAATTCGTGTTTATATTATAGGTATTCTGGATACCTTGTATACATTTTTTCCTGTACCTTTCCTGCACTAGATTACCTGTTAATCATTTTCTCTCTCAGGGCATTGGGTTGATTGGAAGAGATCTCTTTCAGAGACAAGCTCACCCTTGCTAACAAGTTGTTAAACTAATTGCTATATCCTTTTTTCAAGTGCAATATAATTTAAATTTACCTGTATAATTTTAATCGACATAATTTTTTACTATTATACATAGAAGTTCTTGTTTGACACATTTCTGGGCAAAATTAAGCCATATAAATAATCAATGATTTTCCAACTTGCCATTAAAGTGTTGTCTGTGAAGTAAAAGATTGCGATAACTATCTTAATAAACATCAAACCACAACAGCAGCATTGTTGTTACTTAAAAGAAATGATGCTTAAACATACAATTTTTATAATTTCAAGTTCTTTGCTAATACCAATGACATAGTACTGGTCACACTGGATGTGATGACAGAGTGTTTAAAAATCTACAAAACAAATCAGCACAAATAGGAGTGAACATAAACAAGTTAAGTGTCGTATTGCATAGGCTTGGGCGCCCTTCAGAGTTGGCAGAACAGTTGTTAGGTCAAAGACTGTACTCGCACGTGGATATTTAAAGATAAATGTATATTGTAATCGACGTATACTATCATTCTTCTGTTATAGAATGAAAACTGGGGTCTTTATAGAAAACTCTGCTGAGAAGCTCCGCGTAGCACGGGATGGGGGAGGGGGGGGGGCAGGGAGAGATGACGACTAGATGACGCTATAAAAAGAAACAAGTGCATCTGACTAACCACTAAAGTCAGAGATATTGTTGAAGAATTTGAGCGTCAGAAGTAAAGATAGGCAGGCCATGTTGCAAGGATTAAACAAAATCGTTGAGTGAGAAGGATTTTAGAGGTCGACCACTCAAAAGATGGTCGCATGATATTCGCCCTCAAGCAGTGACCGAGTGAATGAAAGTGGCAAGGTATATAGACAGGCATAGAAAGATAGTACGGAGACCTATGTCCGCAGATGGACGCAGTAAGGATTGCTATAGTTATAAATATTGTACTCACCAAGTGAGGGTGGTCACCAAGGTTAGCGGCCGAGCCTCCGGTGATCCTGGAGCCATCGAAGTCGCCCGCTTCCTCGCTTCTCTTGATGGCGGCCGCCAGAGGGATGCCCACGTTCTCGTGGTAGTAGAGACTAATTGGCTCCTCGGCCAGCACCGAGCCCACCAACGCGATCAGCACCAGGAGTTTCATTGTTATGCAGGAAACCAAATGTATGCAGATGATTTGTCGTGCAATTTTTATATAGCAACTTTGGAACTTTTATCTGTATTTAATCTACTGGCCTTAAATAATTTAAAGATTTAGATTGTTTGATTAGGAGCGCATATTACGGACGTATCTCATGTAATCGATGCGTGATTTAATTAAAGGCTGGGCCACAATGTTGTCGCAATATACATCTATTTTGGGCTAGTCGTTATTAGCACTTAATACTTTTAACTTAATATTATTATTAGCATACAATTTCTTTTTTTAAATTAATTATTGCGATTTCCTCCTGTGTTGATCCCATTTTTATTTTTTGTTGTGTGATTGAAGCTGCCATTTTTTTTATGGAGCAAACTTACAGCATGTTATAATTTGTTTCTTATATGATTTTCTTGTCCCGTGTGGTCCCGACATGGAATAGGTCGCCCCTTCTTTTCCCGTGGGTGTCGTAAGAGGCGACTAAGGGATTTGATTTAATTAAATATATACATATTTTGTATGCTAGTTTTCATTGCTCTCACCGGATCTAGTTGTGTACAATTTTCTTTTATACAACTAAGAATGGCAAACAAGCTAACGGCCCACCTGATGGAAAGTGGTAACCGTCGCCTATGGACAGAAGTGCCCAAGCAAATGACTTTTATACAAATTGCGGTTGCCAACCCGCTTACCAAGCGTGGCAACTACAGGCAAAACAATGGTAACATCACAAGAAAACGGCTACCAGATGTAGATGGCTCAGGACCGTTTCTTATGACAGTCTATGGGGGAGGCCTATGTTCAATCGTGGACGGAGAATAGCTGAAATGATGATGAATGATGACAGACATCATCCAGTTACAATTTCATTATATTGGTGAGTGATATGTGTATATGTCTTTAGTGATTACTAATTTTCTGGTGAATTCTGTATCACCTTATCGCAGCCTGCTCTTTCTTTGCTTACTGACTGATAGTGCAGTATCAATACCGTACGATTTATAAACTAAAAATACACTCACTAGATAGATAGATAGATAGATACTCTTTATTGTTTCCTCCAAAAGATTACATTAAGATTACTCAAGTGGCTCTCTATCCGTTTTCGTCGTAATCTGCATATCCTGTCTCTTCTTTACACAATCCTTTTTAATCCTGCTGCTCCTGATTATCTAAAAGACCGATTCTTGTTTCTCAGTGAGGCTAATGATCATACTTTACGAAGTGTCAATAACCTCCGACTTAAATTTCCCACTCATTCTTCTTCCTTTTATTCTAAATCCTTTACTACCGTAATCGTACCGTACCGTACCGTACCGTACCGTACCGTACCGTACCGTACCGTACCGTACCGTACCGTACCGTACCGTACCGTACCGTACCGTACCGTACCGTACCGTACCGTACCGTACCGTACCGTACCGTACCGTACCGTACCGTACCGTACCGTACCGTACCGTACCGTACCGTACCGTACCGTACCGTACCGTACCGTACCGTACCGTACCGTACCGTACCGTACCGTACCGTACCGTACCGTACCGTACCGTACCGTACCGTACCGTACCGTACCGTACCGTACCGTACCGTACCGTACCGTACCGTACCGTACCGTACCGTACCGTACCGTACCGTACAGTACCGTACCGTACCGTACCGTACCGTACCGTACCGTACCGTACCGTACCGTACCGTACCGTACCGTACCGTACCGTACCGTACCGTACCTTACCGTACCGTACCGTACCGTACCGTACCGTACCGTACCGTACCGTACCGTACCGTACCGTACCGTACCGTACCGTACCGTACCGTACCGTACCGTACCGTACCGTACCGTACCGTACCGTACCGTACCGTACCGTACCGTACCGTACCGTACCGTACCGTACCGTACCGTACCGTACCGTACCGTACCGTACCGTACCGTACCGTACCGTACCGTACCGTACCGTACCGTACCGTACCGTACCGTACCGTACCGTACCGTACCGTACCGTACCGTACCGTACCGTACCGTACCGTACCGTACCGTACCGTACCGTACCGTACCGTACCGTACCGTACCGTACCGTACCGTACCGTACCGTACCGTACCGTACCGTACCGTACCGTACCGTACCGTACCGTACCGTACCGTACCGTACCGTACCGTACCGTACCGTACCGTACCGTACCGTACCGTACCGTACCGTACCGTACCGTACCGTACCGTACCGTACCGTACCGTACCGTACCGTACCGTACCGTACCGTACCGTACCGTACCGTACCGTACCGTACCGTACCGTACCGTACCGTACCGTACCGTACCGTACCGTACCGTACCGTACCGTACCGTACCGTACCGTACCGTACCGTACCGTACCGTACCGTACCGTACCGTACCGTACCGTACCGTACCGTACCGTACCGTACCGTACCGTACCGTACCGTACCGTACCGTACCGTACCGTACCGTACCGTACCGTACCGTACCGTACCGTACCGTACCGTACCGTACCGTACCGTACCGTACCGTACCGTACCGTACCGTACCGTACCGTACCGTACCGTACCGTACCGTACCGTACCGTACCGTACCGTACCGTACCGTACCGTACCGTACCGTACCGTACCGTACCGTACCGTACCGTACCGTACCGTACCGTACCGTACCGTACCGTACCGTACCGTACCGTACCGTACCGTACCGTACCGTACCGTACCGTACCGTACCGTACCGTACCGTACCGTACCGTACCGTACCGTACCGTACCGTACCGTACCGTACCGTACCGTACCGTACCGTACCGTACCGTACCGTACCGTACCGTACCGTACCGTACCGTACCGTACCGTACCGTACCGTACCGTACCGTACCGTACCGTACCGTACCGTACCGTACCGTACCGTACCGTACCGTACCGTACCGTACCGTACCGTACCGTACCGTACCGTACCGTACCGTACCGTGCAAAACTCGTCTGCTTGTTAGGTACATTTAATAAGTAGATAAAAGATGACAAAATTTAAAGGTCTGACAATAAATAAATAAATAAATAAAAAAAAAGTGATTTATGACATTATCAACTGTTTTTATTACTCTGATTAAGTTAAAAAGAAAAAAAAAACCCTATTTATATGTCTTGATTCTAGGCTCTAAAATCCGAGGTTTTCACACGTCTTGTCATGGTTGCCAAATTTTTGAGCTGGCAACTCTATATCCAACTCGTATTCCTGCCTGATACAACTGCGCTTGTATGATCGTATTTTGGTTTGAAGACCGGGATATGGCAGTGAAATTACATGGTACAGAGGTATAACACCACAGTCTTCAGGAATGGCAACGCATATTGGTGGTGGTAGTGTTTAGAATTAGATTGTGGTCCACTAGCTTTTACCCGCGACTTCTTCCACGTAATCAGGATATATTTACTGACCGGAGAGCCTATGACCACCCCATATGAAATTTGGTATACATATACTATGTACGTACATAGTATATGTATACCAAATTTCATAGCGATTGGTAAGACGCTAAGAGGTAACAAAAAGACATTGTTAATAATACGGACTACCAGCCCTACTGCTAGAAATATACCCTGTCTGGTCAACCACCCTGGAAACCATTTCTTTCTTTCTTTCTAAACTTTTAGCAGTATTCAACACGATATGTCAGCTGAGCTGCTTTCATTCTCACCTATCATCCCTCACTGGTTTCCTACCAGAGTGTATAGTTAATGCAGACGGGGCTACTATTCCGTTATCATCCATTAAAACAAAAACATTTATAGCCGTGTGGTCTCGGCATAGAATGGGCCACCCCTTCCTTTCCCGTGAGCGTCGTAAGAGGCGAATAAGGGATTTGATTTAATTAAATATATACATATTTTGTATGCTGGTTTTCATTGCTCTCACCGGATCTAGTTGTGTACAATTTTCTTTTATACAACTTAGAATCGCAAACAAGCTGACGGCCCACCTGATGGAAAGTGGTAACCGTCGCCTATGGACAGAAGTGCCCAAGCAAATGACTTGTATACAAATTCTCCCTCTGGTGACTGTAATTTTTTAAAGATTTTTGACAATTTTAACCTTTATAGGTGCTTATTTTACTTATGTGCTTCATAATCTTCTTATTATTAAATAAATTAAAAACACATCTTATATTGCAAAAAATATTTTAATGTTTAATAATAAAATTAATAACACGAATAGGCGGACACGTCTACAATCTAGCTTGGATCCAGGACAGGAAGGATGTGACGCGGGCGAAGCCGGCGGGGAAGCCCACCTGGCAGCCGGCGGCCGAGCCGAACGATACCACACCGATCTGGGGGAGAAAGTACATACAAATCAAATAGTCTCTAAAACAGAGTAAGTTTATACGAAAGACATCGGCATGAGTACCTCAGTCTCATATGTCACAGTCGCCGTCAAGCACATGTTCAAGGGATATAGCAGTAAGATATGAGTACATGGGGCACGGGAACATAACACCTCAGGACTCAGGAATGGAAACGCATGATATACGTAGCTAATGTCTACAGGCAAGAGCTGATACTTTTTATCATGTGAACTTTCCACTCATTTGCCATTTCAAGATTCTTCATAAAAAAAAGACACAAGATAAGTAAAGATATTAATAATCACATAATAGTTTCAAAGGGATCCTTGTTAGTAACTGAAGAGACGACATACACTCAATGAATTTTTGAGTTGTTATGATCAAAACTTGAAGGCCACTAACCAGATTACGCTGGTTGCCGTTCCATATCCACAGAGGCCCGCCGGAGTCACCGCCGCAGGTGCTCTGACCGCCGGCGCCGCTCACACAGAGCGTGGAGCTGACCACGACGTTGCTACCGTAGGTGGAGGCGCACGCGGAGTTGGTGATGACCTGCAGCTGCACGTGGCTCAGGAACTGGTTGTTTGAGATTCCAGTGCCTGAAGGTATTTATGATTATAAATATGAGCGTAAGTGTTAAGTATACATAAAATAATTAGAGTTTTAGATTGTTGTGGAAGACACAGTTTTTTTCAGAG